TACCTGTCTGGGCAGTCACTGTTGGCATTGACGTACATTCCTATGTTTGTTTCCTTAGTGTAGACTGCAGTGTGGAAGCCTCCGCTCCTTTCCGTGACCGTTACATTTAGAAAGGGCAGCTTCCCATCCTTCTCCATCTCGTAAGTGAAACTCAACACAGAATTCCGCTCGAATGCCTCCTTCAGCTCCTGCAGACGTTTGACATCTTCTACATGGGTACCATCAAACAGAAGGTCTTAGTTGACATGAACTTGAAACCTGCCATATACTGCAGGTATGTTGACGACATTTTTACACAGGTACCTGATGTCAAACGTATGCAGGAGCTTATCAGGGGGGAAAGTGCCAAGCAACCCTGACTATATAGCACTGGGAAGGGGTCAGGATAAGGATTTGGGATGGGATGGTGGGGAAGGAATGGTGCCCAACCACTTGTGGACGGTCGGGGATTGAACGCCGACCTGCATGACGCGAGACCGTGGCTCGACCCTCCACCCCAAGTAGTTAGGCTGGTGGTTATACAACTGTACAAATCTCTGGTGCACCCCCACTTGAAGCATCGAGACCTCATCTTCAGACACAGTTGCTTTGGAGAAAGTTTAACACTGGCTGACAAAAATCATTCCTGAAGTCGACTCTCATACCGAGAACATGGCTAAAAACACTGCAAACCAGACAGGACAAGGCTCATCTCATTGAAACTTTTAAAATACTGAACAATTTGGAAGATATTGATCCAGACCACTTCTCTGAAAGGTCAGATGTAACACAAATAAGGAGCAAAGGTTTCAAGCTCAACAAACCACAATGCAGGACAGAAAACCAAAGATGTTTTTACACCCACAGAGCTGTAAAACATGGAACAGCCTACCCGCCAAAGGCGTAAATGCAAAGACGCTGCTGAATTTCAAAATAAGGCTTGACGAAATCATCGGAACAACTGTGGGGATCTTCGACAAGCTGCCAGCTTTCTGTCCCTGTCAAGACCACTATAGAGATAGTGGCCCCTCTGGTAAAATTATTTCTGGCAGTCTACCCATCCTGGGGGGGCCTTGACAGCTCAGTGGACAGCACTCGGGATTCAGTCCTGAGGTTCCGGGTTCGATCCCCGGGGGAGGCAGAAACAAATGGGGAGAGTTTTTCACCCTGATATCCCTGTTCACCTAGCAGTAAATAGGTACCCCGGGAGTTAGACAGCTGCTCCAAGCTGCTTCCTGGGGGTGTGTAACAAAAAGGAAGCCTGGACGAGGACCGGGACGCTAAGCCCCGAAATCATCTCGAGATAACCTCAAGATGGAATGTATGTTTATGACACTAGTCTATAGATTAGTGCTTCATGTTTGTCCCTTTCTTGAATATTGAAACTACATTTTGCCTTTTTCCAGATTTCTAGTAGCTTTCCCATCTCAAGTGAAATATTGAACACTATAGTTAATGGGCAACACAAGATCCCTGCAGCTTCCTTCAGTAACCAATGAGGTTACTTCCTTCAGTCCAATGAGGTGGTAGAGGTACTTGGAATCAAGGTAGAAAATATGAATCTACTTATTATTTTAATATACAAACCACCAGATGCAACAGTTGAGGAATTCACTGAACAGATCCACAAAATAGAGAATATCCTTGATAACCTAGCAAACCCAGTACCAGATATCATCTTCCTTGGAGACTTCAATCTACCCAGTTTAAAATGGAGAATAGTAAACAATAACATCATAGCAGGAAGTCAACCTGGAAATAACCAACCACAGGTCAGAGAACTACTGAGATTCTGTGACAAATTCTCGCTCAGTCAGCAGATTACAGAACCAACTAGGAACGAAAACACGCTGGACCTGATATTCACGAACAATGAGGAGCTAATCAGAGACATTACTGTCTCAGACACTACGTACTCGGACCACAAGCTCATTGAAGTGCAAATTAACATTAATAACAATAGTAGGCCCAAGAGAAACAACAAGAGAGAAGGGCTATTCAATAAATTCAATTTTAATAATAAGAGGATAGACTGGGAGAATATAAACAGGGAACTTACAAACATTCAATGGGAAAATGTTCTAAGAAATAAAAATCCTACACGGGGACTAGAAAAACTGACGTCTGAAGCATATGAAGTCTGTCTGAAACATGTTTCTTTGAGGAAAGCGAGAAAGAGGTCCAATGTATAAAGAGAACGCAGACGACATTACAAAAGGAGGAAGAAACTAACGGAAATGCTTAAGCAGACACGACTCTCCATGCAGAGAAAAAATAATTTAAACAGGGAGATTGAAGAAATCGAACAGAGACTGAAGCATTCCTATCAGACTGAAGAAAGGCAACTAGAACAGAAAGCAATTCAAGAAATAAAGAAAAATCCAAAATATTTCTTCACATATGCTAAATCAAAAGCGAAAACCACTGCCAGTATTGGACCTATTTGTATTAGTAAAGGTTCATACACTGAGGATGACAAAAGAAATTAGTGAAATCCTAAAAAAGCAGTATGAAGACATGTTTAGCACTCCGATAATCAGCATGAAAGTGGAAGATTCCGACAATTTCTTTATGAATGATACTCAAACACCTGTAAATATAACTGATATCAACACGAGCGTGGCATATTTTGAAAGAGAAATTGACAATTTGCCTATGCACTCAGCCCCAGGTCCAGACTCATGGAATTCAATATTTATAAAGAAATGCAAAGTGCCAGTAGCACACGCACTCAATATAGTGTGGAGGAAGAGCTTGGACACAGGGGAGATACCAGATGCACTTAAAGCAGCAGACATTGCCCCTCTACACAAGGGTGGTAGCAAAGCATTGGCAAAGAATTATAGGATAGTTGCACTAACGTCCCACATAATAAAAGTATTTGAAAGAGTGATCAGGAGTCAGGTCACTAGATTCATGGAAACCAATGACCTCCACAATCCAGGCTAACATGAATTTAGAGCAGGAAGATCATGCCTCTCACAGCTACTTGACCACTATGACAAAATCACCGAGGCATTAGAGGAAAAACATAATGCAGATGTCGTATACACAGATTTTGCAAAGGCATTCGACAAACTTGACCATGGAGTGATTGCACACAAAATGAGGTCAATGGGTATAACTGGTAAAGTAGGACGCTGGATACTCAATTTCCTGTCGAACAGAACACAGAGTAACAGCCAATCAAGTAAAATCGAGTCTGAGCGCAGTTAAAAGCTCTGTACCTCAAGGTACAGTCCTTGCACCACTGCTGTTCCTTATTCTCATATCAGATGTAGACAAAAACACAAGTCACAGCTTCGTGTCATCCTTTGCAGATGATACAAAAATCAGCATGAAAATTACCTCTGCTGAAGACATTGATAAACTACAAACAGGTCTTAACAAAGTTTTCGATTGGGCAGCGGAAAATAACATGATGTTTAATGTTGATAAATTCCAGGTACTCAGATACGGCAAAAATGACGATCTTAAACATGATACAGGGTACAAAACACAATCGAATCTGCCCATAGTAGGAAAGCAGCATGTCAAGGATTTGGGAATAATGATGTCCGACGACATAACGTTTAGGGAGCATAACCAAGCAAGTATTGCGTCAGCCAGAAAAATGATAGGATGGATTACGAGAACCTTCAAGTCCAGAGATCCCATCACAATGGTTGTACTCTTCAAATCACTTGTGTTGTCCTGTCTTGAGTACTGCTCAGTACTCACTTCCCCCTTCAGAGCAGGAGAGATTTCTGAAATTGAGGGAATACAGAGAACATATACGGCACGCATAGACAAGATAAATTAAACCTAAATTATTAGTTTTAATTAGACCTAAATTAGACCTAAATTGTTGGGATCGTCTCAAAGCTCTCCAAACGTACTCACTAGAAAAGAGACGAGAGAGATACCAAATAATATACACATGGAAAATACTGGAGGGACAGGTCCCAAATCTGCACAGTAAAATAATAACGTACTGGAGTGAACGACATGGAAGAAAATACAGAATAGAACAAGTGAAGATCAGAGGTGCCATGGGCACAATCAGAAAACACTGTATGAACATCAGAGGTCCACGGTTGTTCAACGTCCTACCAGCGAGCATCAGAAATATTACAGGAACAACCGTGGACATCTTCAAGAGGAAACTAGATTGTTTCCTTCAAGGAGTGCCGGATCAACCAGGCTGTGATGGGTATGTGGGCCTGCGGGCCGCTCCGAGCAACAGCCTGGTGGACCAAACTCTCATAAGTCAAGTCTGGCCTCGGGCCGGACTTGGGGAGTAGAAGAACTCCCAGAACCCCATCAACCAGGTATCAACCAGGGTGCTATCTGGTCTGGTGATATTGCTTTTGTTACATCCAGTTCCTACAGGTGTCTTTTTACCTCTTCTACCTAGTGTTGATGACCAAACCGCACATCAGAAAACGGAGTACTGTCAGAAAATGGAGAATTGACGATGGTTTGGTCCGTCCTGACAATGGTCCTGGTAGGACCGAAACCTCATTGTTTCTCCATTTTCATGTGTGGTTTGGTCATCATATCTTCAGCCACATTATTGGAACCCATCGTCTATTTAGTGTTAGTTGTGGTAGTATGTCGTCTCACCTGCTTTGTCACCAACCTGGTTCTGGTATGTAGACCTCCTGGAACCTCTTGTTGAGCTCTTCATGTCATCCTCCAACAACAGACTTCATCAGGGTAACATTATTTTTATACTTAAATATAAACAACTTTTAATGAGTTTGATATTTTATGGGTTCCATAAAATAAACACATTGTCTCTGTAAAATGTTTACCATTACTCCAAGACAGCAACCAAAGATACAATATTCTGCATATATAATTATCTCCCTTTTAACTTTGAATAAATAACATTTTTATTAACATTTATATTTTCTGCTGTATTTGTCTTTCACATACAAGAACTAAACTGCAATAACTTATTATTAGTTCTCAAATATAGCATTCCAGTTGGGTTTGCCGTGACTAAATTTTCGCTTCCTTAAACATTTCTTACACACCTGCTGGCCAAGTTTCCGGCACATGCACTTCCTCCGTTTCTTCTTTGGAGCTCCTGCTGCATTTCCTCTTGATTGATTTATCGTAGGTGCATTGCCTGTCATTTCCACAGGTGCATTGCCGGTCATTTCCACAGGTGCATTGCCTGTCATTTCCACAGGTGCATTGCCGGTCATTTCCACAGGTGCATTGCCGGTCATTTTTACAGGTGCATTGCCGGTCATTTTTACAGGTGCATTGCCGGTCATTTCCACAGGTACATTTCCTGTCACTTCCTCCGGTGCACTTAATCCATTTTTATTCACTTTTCTTGTTCTTCCATTTTGTTTTGTAGCATTATTCATCATTGTCTTTTCACCTTCAATTTGTTTAACATTACTTTTCTTTTTTGCCTGTCCTCCCATATTTTTCTTAGGGGTTTTCTTCTTTACTTTGAGTGGTTTTGCCGCCCCTTTTATAGTCCGTTTTGGACTATTTTGTTTGGTAATTTTTTCCTTTCCCTCTTCTCCTGTACGTAGTTCTATAATTTTATTAATATTTCCTTCTCCTTCTTCTTCTTGATTTCCAGGCGAGCAATTTTTGGACGCACGCGTTCTTCCATTTTGTTTTGTAGCATTATTCATCATTGTCTTCTCACCCTTATTTACTTTAACATTACTTTTCTTTTTTGCTTTTCCTCCCATATTTTTCTTTGCGGTTTTCTTCTTTACTTTGAGTGGTTTTGCCGCCCCTTTTATAGTCTGTTTTGGACTATTTTGTTTAGTTGTTTTTTCCTTTCCCTCTTCTTCTGTACTTTGTTCTGTAATTATATTAATATTTCCTTCTCCTTCTTCTTCTTGATTTCCAGGCGAGCAATTTTTTGGTGCACGTCCTGTAAGTCTCTTCTTTTTAGCCATATTTTTACCTTTGTTTGTCTTTATCTTTGTGAGCATAATCCCTTCCTCATTTTGACCTGTAATTCCTTCAGGAACATTTCCTTGATGCACATTTCCTCTCTCGCTCTTACCTAGCTTAACTTTTTCTACACCTTTATTCTGTTTGGTATTCTTTCTTTTATTTTTTTGGTTTGTTTGAAGTGAGTGCTGGTATAGCTGAGTATATTGCAAAAGCTCATCAATGCTCTCCAGTGCCGGGGAAAACACTGGCTGAAGTGCGTGTGCAATGTGGCTGCACATTTCTTCTGGAATTTCATTGCTGCTACTCGCTTGTACATCTTTTAACAACTGTTGAAGTTTATCGTGGAGATTTTGTCCTGGGCCATACTTTGCATTTCCAATAACAGCAATAGAGACATCCCTTAACGAGCTTAGTATTTTTCTCACCATGATCCGAGATACGCATTTTCTATCCAGAGAACTTTTAAAGTTGAGAAGCTGACGAACAGACGAATTTAAATCATCCTTTGTACAATTTAATCGGTTAATGTCCTTACTTAATTGTTTTATAATTTTTAGCTTATTTTTACCAAGTTGTCTAAGATATTTTTTGTGCCATTTCATGCTGAGAGTTCGACTGTATTCATTTAAAGACTGGGACGAAAGCTCTATTTCAGATTTCTTTTGTGGTTTTAAGGCAGCATTAATTCTAGCGACATGCACGACAAAATCTTCGAGTCCTTGCACGTTCTTGCGTTTCAGTAAGACTTCAATCATGTCTTGAGCGGCAGATCGACCTTTCTTGCTTCCATACATACGCACCTGAAAAGAAATTCAGCTATATCAATGTAAACGTATTTTTCTACGAAACTCTAATATTGAATTATTTAAAAAATTGGCCCAAAATCAAACACCCACATGTCATCACACTATTTGTATCAGCTAATCCAGTGACTAACTAACCCCCAAACTTACCATTGTCACAGAGACTTACTAACTATCCCGAGTAACCTTGAGGTTATCTTGAGATGATTTCGGGGCTTTAGTGTCCCCGCAGCCCAGTCCTCGACCAGGCCTCCACCCCCAGGAAGAAGCCCGTGACAGCTAACACCTAGCTACCTATTTTACTGCTAGGTAACAGAGGCATAGGGTCAAAGAAACTCTGCCCATTGTTTCTCGCCGGCGCCCGGGATCGAACCCGGGACCACAGGATCACAAGTCCAGTGTGCTGTCCGCTGGGCCGACCGGCTCCAAACCACTATCACTCCTTGTGCCACAGCCTTTACCTCCTAAATTCCAAACTCAATCATGTAACACAAATTTCTTCAGATTTATATTATTTCATTACATAACAGTTTCATTATCTTTACATCAACTTTACATTATTTTCTCTTCTATGCACTAATTTTCCTTGAAATATTAATATTAAATGGACACAAAACTGGCCTATAATCTCAATAAACATTAAAGTGGTAAAAATATATTTTCCCAATGCTTCGCGGCTTTTCTCAGCTCTACTTACATACTGCAATACTTAACAGCTTTCTAAATCATTTTTGTTTTGTTTTCAAATGACTATATTTCTAGTCATTCTCACACAATATTGATCATAAAATATTAACTAGCAAAGTCTTACTTTGTTTAGTACCGATACTGTAGTTATATGACAGTAAAACTAATATAGTAGAGTATCAATACCTTTACAAGCCTACGAACATCTCCACAAGGGCCGTGACGAGGATTCCAACCTTGAATGTTTACAAGCCTATGTTGAGCAATCTTGCACTTTGTGTATATAGCTAAGGTATATTTCAGTGAAGAAAAAGAAGAATTCAGTAACGTGTAAGTGAAGAAACGGCATCGTTTCTTCACCTTCCTGATGCATGGTTTGGTCATCACAACTTATATTTCTGCTTTTAAAATATTATATTTTACACACACCCCTAAAGCTTGTCAGAATAGTTTCTAGTATTTACTTTACTAGTACAGGGTATTTACTAGGGTATTTACTAGTACATGCAACTCATCTTTCCTTCAAGAAAAAGCAACATACACACCTCGGCACCATTATCGTTACGGATAATTCGCACAGTTGCCCCCGAACGTCTCTGTATCTCTTGAAGGGTAACCCTTTTGCGTCCCAAGACTCTTCTAACCTGTCTCTTCTTTATTGAAATCATGCATGCACCATTCTGTTTTGGTAAAAAGTAAGATTAATTAATATCACTAACTTTTTTACTCGTGGTACAGCAATATAAACTACAGGCAAACCTCACTGAACAAATGCTCCTGGAGTAGGCAACAGTGAAATGAACCGCCAGAATGCAACTACAGCATAAACCACCAGCAACAGCACAAATAAATGTATGAAATGGCAGGCACACATAATGGTAGAGGCCCAAGTATGTTGACCAGACCACACACTAGAAGGTGAAGGGGCGACGATGTTTCGGTCCGTCCTGGACCATTCTCAAGTCAATTGTGGACATCCACAATCGACTTGAGAATGGTCCAGGACGGACCAAAATGTCGTCGTCCCTTCATGTTCTAGTGTGTGGTCTGGTCAACATACTTTAGCCACGTCATTGTGACTCATCGCCTGCACGTAGAGGACCAAGCTGTTGCCATCAGGTCACAGGCCACAGCAGCTGCTACAAGAGCAAAGAAGAAGATGGACTAGCAAAGAAAAGCATCCTACCTATACATAATATAGAAATGCATTAGACAATGATGCAAAACAGAGAAAGTATTTCCTTACACAAATCACAAACACATTTGTTTTAGGGATCAGAATTTTTACTTTTAATTCTATACGGGCAAATGGACAAACTGTATGCGTGAGGAAAATTTCTTTGGAAGGATTTTAACAAAGGATAGTCAATATTGTTTTAAATATGCCATCAAAATTAATTCATCATCATCTTACCACAGCCTGAGTTCCTTCTGTATTGCTAACAGCCGATACATTCGTGGATATGACAGGAGCAGAGTAGCTAATGACTGACTGGGGAACTTGCGAGTAGCTACAGTTCTGAAACTTCACTGGACAGTCATGCCCAAAATGTCCTCTTCTGCCACAATTGAAGCAAAATCTCTCATTTGGAAGCCGAGTTTCATAGTTGTCTGGTGTGCGTAGAGCCGTCCCCGAGGTCTAGAGGGAAAATGGAGCTTGTATTGATAGTCATTTTATACACAAATAACAACCCTCGTACCTGAACAACAAGTGACAACATTTCACTCCATCCAGGACCTTTATCCTGCCATTTTATATTTAGTGGTGCAGCATGAGCCATAATTAATACTTGAAGAAGCTACCAACATAACAACACTTTAGTGATGCAGCATGAGCCATAATTAATACTTGAAGAAGCTACCAACATAGCAACACTTTAGTGATGCAGCATGAGCCATAATTAATACTTGAAGAAGCTACCAACATAGCAACACTTTAGTGATGCAGCATGAGCCATAATTAATACTTGAAGAAGCTACCAACATAGCAACACTTTAAAATGATCAGGAGTTAAATAGAGTAAAACAAAAACACAAATGGTAAACAAAATAAGCCTAAATTAAACAATGTTCTGCTCACGCTTCATCATAACATTGTTTAATAACAACCTTAATAAAGGTTGATTGCAAATAACTTGTACAATGAGGATGTTGCTGGCAGCAGTCCACAGACCCACATAAATGGTTTAGTCATACTGAATGATTGAACATTGAACAACTGGTTAAGAGAGAGAACGTTCAAGTGAATTTAGACAGTAGATGCGGAAGAGCAAGAGGATGCTGGACAGACAGGGTGGGTGTCTGTGGCATATTGACACACATGGTCAGTGTCTGTGGTGTATACTGACACATACAGTCAATGTCTGTGGTATACTGCCACACATGGTCAGTGTCTGTAATTACCTAAGTGTAGTTACAGGATGAGAGCTACGCTCGTGGTGTCCCGTCTTCCCAGCACTCTTTGTCATATAACGCTTTGAAACTACTGACGGTCTTGGCCTCCACCACCTTCTCCCCTAACTTGTTCCAATCATCTACCACTCTGTTTGCGAAAGTGAATTTTCTTATATTTCTTCGGCATCTGTGTTTAGCTAGTTTATATCTATGACCTCTTGTTCTTAAAGTTCCAGGTCTCAGGAAGTCTTCCCTACCGATTTTATCAATTCTTGTTACTATTTTGTATGTAGTGATCATATCACCTCTTTTTCTTCTGTCTTCCAGTTTTGGCATATTTAATGCCTCTAACCTCTCCTCGTAGCTCTTGCCCTTCAGTTCTGGGATCCACTTAATAGCATGTCTTTGCACCTTTTCCAGTTTGTTGATGTGCTTCTTAAGATATTGGCACCACACAACCGCTGCATATTCTAGCTTTAGCCTAACAAAAGTCGTGAACAATTTCGTTAGTATATCGCCATCCATGTATTTAAAAGCAATTCTGAAGTTAGAAAGTGTGGCATAGGCTCCTTGCACAATATTCTTTATGTGGTCCTCTGGTGATAGTTTTCTATCTAGAACCACCCCTAGATCTCTTTCTTTATCAGAATTCTTTAAAGATTTCTCACTTAATATAAAGGTTGTGTGGGGTCTATGTTCTCCTATTCCGCATTCCAAAACATGGCATTTATTAACATTAAATTCCATTTGCCAAGTGGTGCTCCATATATTTATTTTGTCTAGGTCATCTTGAAGGGCATGACAATCATCTAAGTTTCTTATCCTTCCTATTATCTTAGCATCATCAGCTAACATGTTCATATAATTCTGTATACCAACTGGTAGATCATTTATGTACACAATAAACATCACTGGTGCAAGAACTGAACCCTGTGGTACTCGTGACATTTCTCCAGTCCGATACATTGCCTCTGATCACTGCCCTCATTTTTCTATCAGTCAGAAAATTTTTCATCCATGTTAGAAGCGTACTCAGTGTCTGTGGTATACTGCCACACATGGTCAGTGTCTGTGGTATACTGCCACACATGGTCAGGGTCTGTGGTATACTGCAGATGTTCTGCTAGTGTGAGTGATGCTGCAATAAAACAAATCTGTAAGTTTTCCAATCCCCAATGCCTTCTGGCATTGGGGATTGTGCTTCTGCAGTTCAGTCAGATAAGTAAGGAAAGATGTGAAATAGTCTCGGCACAATGAAACGTGTCAATTCTGCATTGTCTTGCTGTGTTGCCCTTTTGCAATATTACTACGTGCAACAGTTTCATATCTGTTGTAAACTTAATGTCTCGGTTTATTGCCACATCAGTCAACGGTATTTGTCTTTTTATTGGTATTGGCGGTGAGAAGCTGCACTCCCCTAAACTGCAGCTCAGGGTAACCTTCCCTGCCTCTTGATGGGGAGAAGCTGCACTCCCCTAAACTGCAGCTGAGGGTAACCTTCCCTGCCTCTTGATGGGGAGAAGCTGCACTCCCCTAAACTGCAGCTCAGGGTAACCTTCCCTGCCTCTTGATGGGGAGAAGCTGCACTCCCCTAAACTGCAGCTCAGGGTAACCTTCCCTGCCTCTTGATGGGGAGAAGCTGCACTCCCCTAAACTGCAGCTCAGGGTAACCTTCCCTGCCTCTTGATGGGGAGAAGCTGCACTCCCCTAAACTGCAGCTCAGGGTAACCTTCCCTGCCTCTTGATGGGGAGAAGCTGCACTCCCCTAAACTGCAGCTCAGGGTAACCTTCCCTGCCTCTTGATGGGGAGAAGCTGCACTCCCCTAAACTGCAGCTCAGGGTAACCTTCCCTGCCTCTTGGTGGGGAGAAGCTGCACTGCCCTAACCTGCAGCTCAGGGTAACCTTCCCTGCCTCTTGATGGGGAGAAGCTGCGCTACCCTAACCTGCAGCTGAGGGTAACCTTCCCTGCCTCTTGGTGGGGAGAAGCTGCACTGCCCTAACCTGCAGCTCAGGGTAACCTTCCCTGCCTCTTGGTGGGGAGAAGCTGCACTGCCCTAACCTGCAGCTCAGGGTAACCTTCCCTGCCTCTTGCTGGGGAGAAGCTGCACTGCCCTAACCTGCAGCTCAGGGTAACCTTCCCTGCCTCTTGATGGGGAGAAGCTGCGCTACCCTAACCTGCAGCTCAGGGTAACCTTCCCTGCCTCTTGATGGGGAGAAGCTGCACTGCCCTAACCTGCAGCTCAGGGTAACCTTCCCTGCCTCTTGATGGGGAGAAGCTGCACTGCCCTAACCTGCAGCTCAGGGTAACCTTCCCTGCCTCTTGATGGGGAGAAGCTGTGCTACCCTAACCTGCAGCTCAGGGTAACCTTCCCTGCCTCTTGGTGGGGAGAAGCTGCGCTGCCTTAACCTGCAGCTCAGGGTAACCTTCCCTGCCTCTTGGTGGGGAGAAGCTGCACTGCCCTAACCTGCAGCTCAGGGTAACCTTCCCTGCCTCTTGATGGGGAGAAGCTGCACTACCCTAACCTGCAGCTCAGGGTAACCTTCCCTGCCTCTTGGTGGGGAGAAGCTGCGCTGCCTTAACCTGCAGCTCAGGGTAACCTTCCCTGCCTCTTGGTGGGGAGAAGCTGCGCTGCCTTAACCTGCAGCTCAGGGTAACCTTCCCTGCCTCTTGGTGGGGAGAAGCTGCGCTGCCTTAACCTGCAGCTCAGGGTAACCTTCCCTGCCTCTTGGTGGGGAGAAGCTGCGCTACCCTAACCTGCAGCTCAGGGTAACCTTCCCTGCCTCTTGGTGGGGAGAAGCTGCGCTGCCTTAACCTGCAGCTCAGGGTAACCTTCCCTGCCTCTTGGTGGGGAGAAGCTGCACTACCCTAACCTGCAGCTTAGGGTAACCTTCCCTGTCTCTTGGTGGGGAGAAGCTATGCTGCCCTAACCTGCAGCTCAGGGTAACCTTCCCTGCCTCTTGGTGGGGAGAAGCTATGCTGCCCTAACCTGCAGCTCAGGGTAACCTTCCCTGTCTCTTGGTGGGGAGAAGCTGCGCTGCCTTAACCTGCAGCTCAGGGTAACCTTCCCTGCCTCTTGGTGGGGAGAAGCTGCGCTGCCCTAACCTGCAGCTCAGGGTAACCTTCCCTGCCTCTTGCTGGGGAGAAGCTGCACTACCCTAACCTGCAGCTCAGGGTAACCTTCCCTGCCTCTTGGTGGGGAGAAGCTGCGCTGCCCTAACCTGCAGCTCAGGGTAACCTTCCCTGCCTCTTGGTGGGGAGAAGCTATGCTGCCCTAACCTGCAGCTCAGGGTAACCTTCCCTGTCTCTTGGTGGGGAGAAGCTGCGCTGCCCTAACCTGCAGCTCAGGGTAACCTTCCCTGCCTCTTGGTGGGGAGAAGCTGCGCTGCCCTAACCTGCAGCTCAGGGTAACCTCGACACCTGTTTATGGTGCTCCTACGGCAAGTTCATTGCCCTGTTCCACCACACACATTCCTTGGTATTTTGAGGAAAATATTAAACATCCTGTCACAATGTCAGCTCAGAATGCAGGAAACAATGAAGGCTTCCACCAGCAGCAAATATAAGATGATACAATTAATTGCTAAGTTAATTTTGAGAGAAAATTAATTAACTAATAAAATGGAGAGCGACGTCCCCAAAAGTCTCATCAGCATTGTATACAAAGCCGGACAACTTTTGATTTGTTTTCAAATTTTTGAAGGTTCATCTTAAAATTTTTACCCAATTTGCTCAAAGTGAAAATAGAATAATAATCAACGTAGCAGGTTAAGTGAGTCGGGCCGAAGCAAACATTTTGATGCAGTATATGAGTGGTACAGACCATAGACGGAGGGAGGAAAATACAAAAATACAAGAGCCAAGATGGCTCTTCATGGTGAAGGAATTGAATTTTCAAATGAAAATGTATATTACTGTGCGGTGTTGACATAGTAACGAGTGCTGTGGCACAGTGATCAGTGTAGCTGGCTCACAACCTGATGGCTCAGTATTACTGTGCGGTGTTGACATAGTAATGAGTGCTGTGGCACAGTGATCAGTGTAGCTGGCTCACAACTTGATGGCTCAGTATTACTGTGCGGTGTTGACATAGTAACGAGTGCTGTGGCACAGTGATCAGTGTAGCTGGCTCACAACTTGATGGCTCAGTATTACTGTGCAGTGTTGACATAGTAACGAGTGCTGTGGCACAGTGATCAGTGTAGCTGGCTCACAACCTGATGGCTCAGTATTACTGTGCGGTGTTGACATAGTAATGAGTGCTGTGGCACAGTGATCAGTGTAGCTGGCTCACAACTTGATGGCTCAGTATTACTGTGCGGTGTTGACATAGTAACGAGTGCTGTGGTACAGTGATCAGTGTAGCTGGCTCACAACCTGATGGCTCAGTATTACTGTGCAGTGTTGACATAGTAACGAGTGCTGTGGCACAGTGATCAGTGTAGCTGGCTCACAGTTCGACTCTGGCTCATGATGGGACAATTGGGAAAACATTTTCACACCTGATGCTTTTGTTCACCTAGCAGTGAATAGACACATCGGAGTTAATTGACTGTTCTAGGCTGCATCCTGGGGAAAGTTCATTCGTAGGCCTAGGGTGACCTCGACATGCCTAACAAACTCCCGTCCCTGAAAACAGGAGACCATTAAGCAAGCAAAAATATGCAGCGAGAGAGAGAGTGAGTCAGCTGATGGACTTCAGTTACTCTGCAGATACCTGTACATCAAATTCACCAAAATCCACAATAACCAATTACTCAAAACAATAGCACATAGACATCACTCAAAGTTTAAAAGTAGAGCAACAATTATTATTCTTTTCTTTTCAGATGTAACTAGCATTTTACATTGAAAAAATAAACCCCACTCTGAATTCAACTGCCTTTTTAACCCCATTAGGCCTGAGGAAGTTGTACAGTGGGTCGGTGCCCATACATCCCTTAACCTTTCCCTCTTCTATAGCCAATTTTAGACAATTCCTTACAGTGAGATGAAATCTTCTCCAGAGGTCAGGACACAACTCAGGCCGATGACCACGATAACCACACAAACTGCACGTCACTGAAGCTGACGTCTCCGTGCAAAAATAATGGAATGTTCCACCACACTGAAAAAATATAATAAATGTTTTAAAACAGCAAATGTTAATTAATTGCAAAATCATGAGTATCATGACATATTAGAGATGCACTAAGGGTATATTTATTATATATTTTCACATACCATACATATATACATACAAGAGCATTACTTCATTCAAGAGGAGGGGATTTTCAGATGGTTGTGTAAATGTACCACTGCGGACTCTTATCATCTTCCGGGCTCTCTCTACAGTATTTTGTCCTTGCCGTTACCAGGAGGCCTGGTCGACGACTGCCGGGCCGCAGGGAAGCTAAGCCCCGGAAGCACCTCAAGGTACAGGGATGTTTGCAAGTGGTCCTCTCATGTATTTAGGAATAGGAGACAAATCCAAGCCTAATTCAGGCCACCTCTGAGAGTACTAACTCAGATAACATAAAATAAGCAATTGTGGCTCAAATTTTCCCCTTGCAATGAAAACTAGAAGTACAGGTAAAATGACTGGCAGTTATGCTTTGCATAATACTGTTAGATCAAATGCTAACAGGTCATACTGTCACCATAACAGGGTCAGAGCAGATGGTTATCCCAATTAAAGCCACCACCACCAAAGCAAACTAACGGAAGGATGAAAAAGGGCGAGAATAGGATTATTCAAGAATCGTGCTCATAAAGAAGGATATAGCTACACTCAATTCTATATTTCTGAGCTAATATCCATCACATGCTTCATTAACCAAATCCCCAGAAAATGTAAAACATCGTCAGAAGAAAAGACAGGACACATACCCGATCAAAACAGCCAGAGTCAGTCCAGATGCAAGAGTCACAACTCACACCAGAAATAACAGGTAGTCCAGTCATGTCTGTGAGGGAGATGGGACTGCAGGTACATACGTAAGACCAGAACATCTGCGCTCCTAAACTGGTAAGACGACCCGAGCACCGAAGCAGAGCACAATAGACATCATATGCAAATCAGGAAGACATACAAATTGTCCTCCAGCCGGATAAATGAGGCATTTAGCCTAGACAGCGAAAGGGGACCCACGTACGACTTGATAATGATCTAGGCCAGACTGAAATGTCGTCGTTTTGCCATCTTCTGGTGTGTGGTTTGGTCATCATATCTTCAGTCACATTATTGTGACTCATCGTCTGCACAAGGGGACCCACAATGGCACCTCGGGGAACCACCTTTGCTGATCACCCTTCAATGCAAAGGATGAAGTGCAAGTCCATGAAAACCGGATCCAGAGCTATACCACAAGCAAAATCCAGGCCACAGCCAGGAGGGCCTACCAACAGGAACTCCCAACACACAGAGAAATCACAATAGCGTCATATTGCATAGGTTCGAACCCTCATCATTGCCCTTGTGGATATGTTCACGAACTCCTAAGCTTCATAGAAAAGGAAAGCACCCCTCCCTCTCACCCAGTATAGAAATTTAGTGAATAAAAGCAAAAACAGTATGGTGGGAGGAGAATGTGGGCGAGTGAGGTGTTGAGGGAGTGAGTGGCAGCGAGTGGCTGGCTGGTGTGTGGCGGTCACTCCTCGTTACTTTTTGACTCATAATACCAACTTAGTGGTTCGTTATGGTGAACAAAACATGCAGATACTTATATATAACCTGTGTATATAGTGTAATAACTGACAAAGTATTTGTTCACTGTTTGATGAACATAATAATTGAATCAACAATATGCACACCATATTTTTGAGTACAGCGATGATTCACTCCTTTTATTATATAAATATATCACACTACACACTATTGAATAATATTACAGCAAAAAACTACAAAAAATCCATCAGAAACATTGAAATAATTAGGTAATTATATCTTTGTGGCTACTCCGGCCTGACAGCTGGCGAGCAACAGACCGTCTGGGACGCACGCTGAGTCAGCGCCTGTTTTTTGCCAGACTTCCCCGCCCTATAGCGGGCAATATATGCCACTTACGATTTTTTTATTATTTTTCCCATGATCAGTAAACACAAATTAACAGGTTTAGAAGAAAAAATAATTTTTTTTTTTTTGGTATGCGCCTGTGGGTGACAAATGCTAAATAGCCCGGCGCCACACAAGGGTTAAAGAAAGCTGAAAATGTGAATGTCAATGTACACCACTTCCATCCTTTACACATGTTTACACAGCAATCCTGAAATTCCATAACAGAAGAGTGGCAGAAAGCCACAAACCATCTTGGCAGATCAAGCCACCAAGTGTCTGTGAGAGGACAATCAGAAGGGCCATGGAGTGAAGGGCAATAGGAGAAAAAGAGCTCAAAATCACAGCTGAACCAAACAGAAGTAATAATGACATGGACCCCAACCCACTCCAATTTAGATAACACAAGACGACCCCGATTCTAATTATGGCATTACACGTTAACCGCCTATACGGTAGCACTAGAATTTCGGGTGAGCACACAACCCAATGTTACACTCATTCACTCAATCAATATATTTATACTTAATAATTAGACTTTGCACAAAAATTTGCATGACAACGTTTGCATCATCAGGAACTCTTGAGTGTTTTGGTTTTATGACGCATTATGTGGCATCAGGACATAAAACGGTTACTTAAAGATAGATACCAGCTAAACTACATTTTACCCAATGTTATCAAACCATGTGCTAGTACCCATGCATATCACCAGGTAGCAGCTCAGGTCACTTGTCTTGCCTCCAGACCCATAAGATGCACCCAATCCCCATGGGAAAGACAGTTGGGTACAGGGAACTTACCAAGGCCAAATTTGATGCTGTCCACAACGGCCGTGACGAGGATTCGAACCTGCATCCGAGAGCATCCCAGACGCTACCTTAATTGACTGAGCTACGACATGGTCGTAGTCTACGTCGTAATCTATGACGGGTCGATTAAGGCAGCATCTGGGATGCTCTCGGACGTAGGTTCGAATCCTCATCATGGCCCTTGTGGATTTGTTCATTTGATGCATCACGCAATTGTGATTTCTGTGTGTAATTGATGCTGTCGTCAACATATTATGACATTTTCGACGTACAGGTGCCAGTTTGGAAGACGAGAGGACTCGGTTGATTATTATATGCTTTGGAAACGTTTTTCTAGGAACCTGGACTGAAATTTATTATAACAGGAAATAATGAATTTTCAAAAGATGACCAAATTCGACTTCTGCACCATTGTAATGTCTGAAATTGTATGTAAAATGGCTTGGGACTTATTAAATATACTGTACTCTTATTACTAACCCTAAAACAGCAATTCTCTGGGCAAGTGAACCGTGTAATGTGGTCCGTTTGAGAACAAAGATGGCAGTGTGGAACTCTGGGACAATCTTCTTTCCTATGCCCAAACTGCCGACACTGGAAACACCTTTCCTGCTGGCTAAAATACCTCCTGCTCTGTTTGACCTGATAATCTGCGGCAATAATGAGCCAGGCACTTCGTTTATCTGGAAATGACATCAATAATGGAACATTTTTTAAAGGATAAATTTTCATGTAATAGATTAAAATAGTACACATATAAAATAAAACAGTGCGCGTGCACACACACACACACACACACACACACACACACACACACACACACACACACACACACAGAAATTCTTTTTTTTACAAAGTGACAGGGACTGGAAAGCTTGTGAAATGGTACATAAAAACAAAGCAACAAGATCAGTAGTGGAAGGGGGAGTAAAGAGCAAAGGAAAAGGGAACATGTTCCTGAAAATTGTATATACCAACATAGATGGAGTGAGGTCAAAAACTTTGGAGTTGCAAGATATAATCCAGCTTAGGGTCCCAGATATTGTTGCATTATCAGAAACGAAACTTGAAGGAAATATAATAAATGAAGTCATATTCCCAAGAGGCTACTCAGTTTGGAGACGTGACAGGAAAACTAGGAAGGGAGGAGGAGTGGCTGTACTGGTGAAAAAACACCTGAAGGTAAAAGAGTTAATATTTGAAAACACTCGAGATATTGACATAATGGCATTGCAGGTCTGGAATCAGGATGATAACCTGATAATTGTAAATGCCTACAGCCCACCAGCAAGCAACACGTGGACAAAGGAAGAACTGGATGACAAACGAGAGGGCCTCATAATGGTCATGAGAGATATTATTGTACAAGCAGATAAAGATAAATCACGACTGTTGATACTGGGGGACTTCAACTTTAGAGCAATAGACTGGGAGGCCTATGAAGCAAGAACGGAGGACTTTTGGACATGCAGATTTGTGAACCTCATTCTGGAGACATTCTTGTATCAACACATACATAGATATACAAAGATGCGAGAAACAACTATACAGCAGTAAGGAGAGGCAGAAAGAAATTTTGAAAAAGGGATAGCAGATAAATGTAAAACAGAACCGGGCCTATTCTACAAATTCATAAACAACAAATTGCAGGTAAAGGATAATATCCAGAGGTTGAAAATGGGAAACAGATTCACGGAAAATGAAAAGGAAATGTGTGAAACACTAAACGAAAAGTTCCAAAGTGTGTTTGTACAAAATGAAATCTTTAGGGAACCAGATACAATAAGAATTCCAGAGAACAACATAGAACACATAGAGGTGTCTAGAGACGAAGTGGAAAAAATGCTCAAGGAGCTCGGTAAGAACAAAGCAGCTGGCCCAGATGGCGTTTCACCATGGGTTCTGAGAGAATGTGCATCTGAGCTCAGCATTCCACTTCACCTGATCTTTCAGGCATCCCTGTGTACAGGAATCGTAGCAGACGGGTGGAAACAGGCTAACATAGTTCCAATCTACAAAAGTGGCAGCAGGGAAGACCCCCTCAATTATAGACCTGTATCATTGACAAGTGTAATAGTGAAAGTATTGGAAAAACTAATCAAAACTAAATGGGTAGAACACCTAGAGAGAAATGATATAATATCAGACAGACAGTATGGTTTTCGATCTGGAAGATCCTGTGTATCGAATTTACTCAGTTTCTATGATCGAGCCACAGAGATATTACAGGAAAGAGATGGCTGGGTTGACTGCATCTATCTGGACCTAAAAAAGGCTTTCGACAGAGTTCCACATAAGAGGTTGTTCTGGAAACTGGAAAATATTGGAGGGGTGACAGGTAAGCTTCTATCATGGATGAAAAATTTTCTGACTGATAGAAAAATGAGGGCAGTAATCAGAGGCAATGTATCGGAATGGAGAAATGTCACAAGTGGAGTACCACAGGGTTCAGTTCTTGCACCAGTGATGTTTATTGTGTACATAAATGATCTACCAGTTGGTATACAGAATTATATGAACATGTTTGCTGATGATGCTAAGATAATAGGAAGGATAAGAAATTTAGATGACTGTCATGCCCTTCAAGAAGACCTGGACAAAATAAGTATATGGAGCACCACTTGGCAAATGGAATTTAATGTTAATAAATGTCATGTTATGGAATGTGGAATAGGAGAACATAGACCCCACACAACCAATATATTATGTGAGAAATCTTTAAAGAATTCTGATAAAGAAAGAGATCTAGGAGTGGTTCTAGATAGAAAACTATCACCTGAGGACCACATAAAGAATATTGTGCAAGGAGCCTATGCTATGCTTTCTAACTTCAGAATTGCATTTAAATACATGGATGGCGATATACTAAAGAAATTGTTCATGACTTTTGTTAGGCCAAAGCTAGAATATGCAGCTGTTGTGTGGTGCCCATATCTTAAGAAGCACATCAACAAACTGGAAAAGGTGCAAAGACATGCTACGAAGTGGCTCCCAGAACTGAAGGGCAAGAGCTACGAGGAGAGGTTAGAAGCATTAAATATGCCAAAACTAGAAGACAGAAGAAAAAGAGGTGATATGATCACTACGTACAAAATAGTAACAGGAATTGATAAAATCGACAGGGAAGGATTCCTGAGACCTGGCACTTCAAGAACAAGAGGTCATAGATTTAAACAAGCTAAACACAGATGCCGAAGAAATATAAGAAAATTCACCTTCGCAAATAGAGTGGTAGACGGTTGGAACAAGTTAAGTGAGAAGGTGGTGGAGGCCAAGACCGTCAGTAGTTTCAAAGCGTTATATGACAAAGAGTGCTGGGAAGACGGGACACCACGAGCGTAGCTCTCATCCTGTAACTACACTTAGGTAATTACACTTAGGTAATTACATAAAGCAAGACACAAGAATGAGGGAAGGAGATATACCGTCAGTACTGGATCTAGTATTCACCAGGAAAGAAGAAGAGATTTTTGACATCCAGTACCTTCCTCCCTTGGGAAAGAGTGATCACGTCCTGTTAGACATTAAATATGCTTTAAGATATCATCTAGAAGAAAATGGGGACATTGAAACAGTTGATAAACTCGATTTAAAGAGAGGCAACTATGGGGAACTTCGAAATTTTTTTAATGAGTGTAATTGGACAGAATTGTTGCTAGGCAGGGAAGTAAATGAAATGTATGCCAAATTTTTAAAACTATACGAGGAAGGCACACAAACATTCATACCAAAACAGAGATGCAGGACCAGAAAACAGGATTGGTTCGACAGAAATTGTGAGAGGGCAAGAGACCAAAAGACACAAAAATGGAATCAGTATAGGAAGAGGCCAAACCCCCAAACATACCAGCGATACAAAGATGCGAGAAACAATTATACAGCAGTAAGGAGAGAGGCAGAAAGAAATTTTGAAAAAGGGATAGCAGATAAATGTAAAACAGAACCGGGCCTATTCTACAAATTCATAAACAACAAATTGCAGGTAAAGGATAATATCCAGAGGTTGAAAATGGGAAACAGATTCACGGAAAATGAAAAGGAAATGTGTGAAACATTAAATGAAAAGTTCCAAAGTGTGTTTGTGCAAAATGAAATCTTCAGAGAACCAGACACAATAAGAATTCCAGAGAACAACATAGAGCGGATAGAGGTGTCTAGAGATGAAGTGGAAAATATGCTAAAGGAGCTCGGGAGGAACAAAGCAGCTGGCCCAGATGGCGTTTCACCATGGGTTCTGAGAGAATGTGCATCTGAGCTCAGCATTCCACTTCACCTGATCTTTCAGGCATCCCTGTGTACAGGAATCGTAGCAGACGTGTGGAAACAGGCTAACATAGTTCCAATCTACAAAAGTGGCAGCAGGGAAGACCCCCTCAATTATAGACCTGTATCATTGACAAGTGTAATAGTGAAAGTATTGGAAAAGCTAATCAAAACTAAATGGGTAGAACACCTGGAGAGAAATGATATAATATCAGACAGACAGTATGGTTTTCGATCAGGAAGATCCTGTGTATCGAATTTACTCAGTTTCTATGATCGGGCCACAGAGATATTACAGGAAAGAGATGGCTGGGTTGACTGCATCTATCTGGACCTAAAAAAGGCTTTCGACAGAGTTCCACATAAGAGGTTGTTCTGGAAACTGGAAAATATTGGAGGGGTAACAGGTAAGCTTCTATCATGGATGAAAAATTTTCTGACTGATAGAAAAATGAGGGCAGTAATCAGAGGCAATGTATCGGAATGGAGAAATGTCACAAGTGGAGTACCACAGGGTTCAGTTCTTGCACCAGTGATGTTTATTGTGTACATAAATGATCTACCAGTTGGTATACAGAATTATATGAACATGTTTGCTGATGATGCTAAGATAATAGGAAGGATAAGAAATTTAGATGATTGTCATGCCCTTCAAGAAGACCTGGACAAAATAAGTATATGGAGCACCACTTGGCAAATGGAATTTAATGTTAATAAATGTCATGTTATGGAATGTGGAATAGGAGAACATAGACCCCACACAACCTATATATTATGTGAGAAATCTTTAAAGAATTCTGATAAAGAAAGAGATCTAGGAGTGGTTCTAGATAGAAAACTATCACCTGAGGACCACATAAAGAATATTGTGCAAGGAGCCTATGCAATGCTTTCTAACTTCAGAATTGCATTTAAATACATGGATGGCGATATACTAAAGAAATTGTTCATGACTTTTGTTAGGCCAAAGCTAGAATATGCAGCTGTTGTGTGGTGCCCATATCTTAAGAAGCACATCAACAAACTGGAAAAGGTGCAAAGACATGCTACTAAGTGGCTCCCAGAACTGAAGGGCAAGAGCTACGAGGAGAGGTTAGAAGCATTAAATATGCCAAAACTAGAAGACAGAAGAAAAAGAGGTGATATGATCACTACGTACAAAATAGTAACAGGAATTGATAAAATCGACAGGGAAGACTTCCTGAGACCTGGAACTTCAAGAACAAGAGGTCATAGATTTAAACTAGCTAAACACAGATGCCGAAGAAATATAAGAAAATTCACCTTCGCAAATAGAGTGGTAGACGGTTGGAACAAGTTAAGTGAGAAGGTGGTGGAGGCCAAGACCGTTAGTAGTTTCAAAGCGTTATATGACAAAGAGTGCTGGGAAGACGGGACACCACGAGCGTAGCTCTCATCC